TGAATATATTGTGAGAGCGGGTTGCACGCTGCAACAGAATTGATGGAAATGATAATTGGTTATAACTACTGAGTTGGCTTCAATCATTATAAATGAGTTACCTGATTTATTTCTATTATTGTTGTTGTTACTAATATTGCGTACAGGTTAATGTAAGTGAACCGCCTTAGCCTCGTCACTACTTCGTCGAGGTTAGGCTCAGCACTTACCAGTACATGGGGTCGGTTGTACTGATACTACACTCTGCACTTCTTGTGCAGATTTCAGAGTTGGTCCCAGCGGCGTGCCATAGACTTGCTCGGATTTCAACTACTCGGAGGAGACTTGAGGTATAACTGCATGGCGTCCGCAGTTCTGAAGTCCCCGTCTATTTTACTTTAGCTGTGTGTTTATTTCCAGACATCTTTATTTTATTCAGACCTTTATTTGTATTATTCTAGAAGCTCGTGCACTTGTGACACCAATTATGGTATGGTATTTAGACACCGTTATTTTTATGTATTATTCACTATATTTCAAACTTTGCTTCCGCATTTGTTTCTTTGATTATTAATAATTTAAAAATTATTTAAAAATTGGTTAATATTATTTTAACGTTGGCTTGCCTAGCAAGTGAAATGTTAGGCGCCATCACGATCCGAAAATGAAAATTTCGGGTTATGACAGGTAATCCAAAAGATTTCTCATTCAATAAGATCTTAGAGAATCTACAAGACAATAAGATTCTTTCTAAAAAAAGTTCAATTGTCTTTATCAAATGTGAAGCAATGGAAACACCAACAGAAACAATAGATCCTATTTTTGACATACTAGAGAATGATAATTGAAGACCAAACGTATTCAATCTCCAAATGTCAAGACCTTCATAAAGACCGATTCAATTTAATAATTAAAGTCAAGACCTTCTTAAAGACCAAACGTAATCCAATCTTCAAATGTAGAAAGTAGAAACTAGAGGTTACTATACCAGAAGTTACAACAGCTTTGCAGGCAATCATTTTCTATGAGATAAAAGAAAACAAAATTCTTCATTATGCTACAAAGGCAAATAATGGAGTAACCTCGGTATCACTCTACTCAGAAACATTTTTGCGCAACTCTCTTCATAGTAGATTGCTGATTGATAAAACTATAATTCATTCTCATGACTCTCTCTGTTGTAATAAATTACAAGTACACCTTGGATCAAGATAAAATTGAAATGACATCTTACATCAGTGGATTTTTTAATCAGTCACACTAACAGAGGTTCTTTTATCAGTCACACTAACAGTGATTAGCATTCCGTTCTTGTACTTTATTTTTGATAAAGGAATTTATTAATAATAGCAACTTCCATTCCTGGACTTCTTTGTGGACTTTTTTATTATTATGATGATTAACTAGTACTTTGGAAGGACCAGATAGCTCATTGCAGTGAAGTGTGGTTGCTCTAGGTAGTTTATCACGACTAAACCTTTGACATGTTTTAGGGTTCCCTTATTTGGAGTTCCAAGAGAACCCCATGTTTCAATATGAACTTGAACCTCTAGCAATATGAACTCAGCCGCACAAGATGATATCATTAAAATATACTAATAAAGTTTATACTAAACATTATCTACAGAAATATTAATGATTCTATAATGCCTCATATCAGCAGGTTTTCATGAAAGGAAGAAAGGCAGAAAAAGAGCAAATTTTATCACAAAAATCAACAGTTTTTAACTTTAAAAAATAATAGCTTTACTGTAGATTTTCAAACAAAAAATCACAGCTTTACAGTTTCTAAAATATGAATTTTAGCCTGGGAATAAAGTGATACTAACCTTGATTGTTGCTACGTGTAGATGGTCGACAGATCAGTTGATTAGCAGCTTGTGGTGCAGAGGTAGCTTCTCCTAATGACAAAACAGATAATGTTGCTAGTATGTTTGGATTAATTAATCCTGCACGCTGAAGTTGAGCAATTACATCTGCAGTAATTTCTTGTCGCATAGTTCTTTTTTGTTCCTTCATTTTTCGAATCCTTTCTTGCACTGTATCATTTGTAGCATTTGAAGTCGGTTCGAAATGGCCCACTTTTCCTTTTAAAGTAGTCTTTGTAACTCCTCGTCCATATAATCTTAAACATCCCGGATGTTCAGGACCCACGACAGATGAAAATGCATCAACAGACTGACTGCCATCTACACTTTGTTGTAAATTTTAAAAAAGAACTTTGTTCAATAGCACAATCAACAAGTTCAATGTAGGATCCAATTTCATGATTGACATACAGGGTTTGAAGCAAAAAGAATATAAGGTAGAGTATCAGGCAACTTTAAATGGTTTAGCCTGATCCTTCATTAATTTATTTGTTTTCATTGGGTTCACGATAAGTACTGATGCTTTTCCTGACAAACTTTTCCTTATCAAAAAAAGAAAAAGAGTGATGCCCTTACAACGAATAAGGTCTAATTACCAAAATCTATCTGTCTTGTTTGTTACCCTCTTTTATGACTTAGGAAAAAAAATATACACATTGACAGAAAGCAATAAAAATGCAAATAAAGAGACTGCCTTATAAGAGAGGACAAGAATTTTTGTCCATCTGTTATCAGGTGAGCTAAGGCTCAGCAAATTTAATACAGTTTACTTACTCATGAACTACTGTTTAAACTTTTGAAACCATTTCATTAGTGAAAATAACATATGTCATCCTATTTGCATAATCTGCTGAATAATCTGAAATGAAGAGTCATAACAAAGGTTCTATCATGTACTTTCTAAATAAAATTTTCAATCAACAGAACACTAAACTATTTAATCTTTCCATAAAGCGGTAAGAGAATAAAATACCCACACATTGAATAAACTAAATACAGAAGAAACAAGCAAATCTAGCAACTAAGTAAAGAGGATATCTTCCCATTAATTTAATTCGAAAGAAACAGAATACTTAATACATCTAGCTAAATCATTATTTTATGAGATTTTGGTAGATACAGATTTATGAGTTAGTTATCCATATTTTCAATGCTTGGTGGGATTTTATGTAACTTTCAGCAATAAAACTTGTTAGTTTTCTTGTATTATTGAAGAGTTACCATAAATTGATGCCAAGAGAACTCTCTTTAGTTCCTACTACACAATGAAGAATATTTCACTTTAAAACATCTATTCAATCATAACATTCAAATTAATTAGAAAGAAACTAATTACCCACCCTTTATGTCACATATTATACTTTTTTCAAGTAACTCCCTAATCACTGGTCTTTGTAGGACTTTATTTTCTCCTCTTCTTTTGATAAGTTACTTTTCTCATATTGATTGAAAGCAAACAGAAATTCACTAATATCTAATACCTTCTTTTTTTAGGGAAATGACACCCGAAAAATAACAACAATACTGTAATAATATTACTTGTGAGCAGAATTACACGAATTGGCTTGAGTCGTGCTGGGCACTATCCTATGAAACTATTTCAGTAATGTGAAATGTTTCCCATGATTAAACAAGCCTACCTCTATTTATTTAGAGGATACAGGAACCAACAAAATTAAATAATACCAGCAAGTTTGGAATGATGAAATAAACACAGGTTATAAAAGAAATTGGAACACACAAAAAGCTAGGCGTAATTGAGAATGAGAAGGCTTGTAGTGATGATTACTAATCATTAGCAATCATGAGATAATAGAATTTTTGTTGGTATCTTCGGATGGTATAGGAAGTGAGTATTTATAGTTGTAAGAATTGTGTAAAAAAATGACAAGTGTTCATCTACTTATCAAAAACTTTCCATGCAAATAGACATTTGGTAGGGGATCTATACACTTGGCCATAGCATCAAGGAGATCAAGCTACATAACTATTTATGTAGCCACTTGTCCACAAAAATATTCAAATACTACTACAGTCCCCCACTATTTTAATTTTTTTTTCTTTCAGCTACTTCATTTGACTCAGGTGAATAAGGCAGAGTTACTTCATAAATTATTCCTTCTTTTTCACAAAAATCATTCAAAGACAAATATTCCCCACCTCTGTCAGATCTAATTCTCTTGATTTTTCTACTAAGTTGATTTTCAACCTCAATTGTATAAGAAATAAAAGCATTAAAAGCATCATCTTTGTTTCTAAGCAAATACAACTTAGTATATCTAGAAAAATTATCAATAAATATCACATAATATCTTTTACCACCTCTAATCATAGTCTACTTTAAATCGCCTAAATCAGTATGAATCAAGGATAACAATCCAGTTTCTCTATTTACAGAAAAACAAGTCTTTCTAATACTCTTAGCTTCAGCACATATATCACACTTTTTAATATTATTTGAGTCTAAATCAGATATTAATCCTAGAGACTGCATTTTCTTTATATACGCGACATTAACATGTCCTAGTCTAGCATGCCATAAAGAAACAGACTCAACCATATAAGCAGAAGAAGATGCATTTTCATTGCTAGTATCAGAAACATTAAGCATAAATAAACCATGATTACAATATCCATTGCCCACAAAAAAATTATTTTTGGTCAGTACGACCTCATCATTCTCGAAAAAAACCTTCACTCCAACTTTTCCTAATAATCCCACAGAAACCAAATTGGTTTGGATATTAGGTACATGCAACACATCACTCAATGCTAGAGTTTTAACAGATGTGAGTTTGAGAAGAAATTTTCCTTTCCCAAGAACGCGAGTTATTCTTGAGTCACCAAGATAAATAGTTTCTCCTCCTTCCTCAATTTGGGTGTAATTTTTGTCTGCACAAATGTGCCTAGTAGCACCAGAGTCTATTGCCTAATTTCTCACATTGGCCATATTATTTATTTGAAAAATGACCGCAATAACTATATTATCCGCTTTAGTCAAATTTAATTTTGACTTAGCGAGATTGTCATTTATACCAACTCTTCTCTTGCATTGAGGTGCATTTTTCTCGAAGGTTTTAATATTAGCATTAGATATGTAACCATGTATATTCACATACATGTGTTTTGACATTAATGTCTGTCAAAGTTGTGGATGCAATAACGTATTTGCAATACCATAGATATTTGGCAGGACAATTGGAACATTAGCAACGGAGACAACACCAAAATCGGTAGCACCATCAATAATTTTCGTAGTAGTATTACTTGCCATAGTTTTCTTAGATTGTAGGGAAATGACATCTGAAAAATAACAACAATACTGCAATAATATTACTTGTGAGCAGAATTACACGAATTGGCTTGAGTCATGTTGGGCACTGTCCTAAGAAACTATTTCAGTAATGTAAAATATTTTCCCAGGATTAAATAAGCTTACCCCTATTTATTTAGAGTATACAGAAATCAACAAAATTAAATAATACCAGCAAGTTTGGAATGATGAAATAAACACAGGTTATAAGAGAAATTAGAACACACAAAAAGCTAGGCGTAATTGAGAATGAGAAGGCTTGTAGTGATGATTACCAATCATTAGCAATCGTGAGACAACAAAATATTTGTTGATGTCTTCGGATGGAATAGAAAGTGGGTATTTATAGTTATAAGAATTGTGTAAGAAAATAACAAGTGTTTATCTACTTGTCAAAAACTTTCCTTGCAAATAGACATTTGACAGGGGCTCTATACACTTGGCCATAGTATCAAAGAAATCAAGCCACATAACTATTTATGTAACCACTTGTCCACAAAAATATTGAAATACTGCCACACTTTTTTCCTCCCTTTGATAAAGACCCAACAGGTACTTTATAAGCACAGAAGAAAAGCAAATTGGACACTGCGCGTTATACTTCAACTGATCTTACAAGTGATATATAATTGCAATGACCAATAAAGCAGTTATTCCCATGGTTTAATTCAATTTGCCTTTCACTTGCAAAATAAATAAATAAATAATAAACCTTACCTAGTATAAAGGAAGAGAAGACTTACAAAAATGAATTCAATAAGTACATACTGCCTGTTAGTTAACTACCAAAATAAACCCATTCACCAATGAACATTCAGTTTCATCCTAAAATATCTCGTTACCTAAACCCAAAATCAAACAAAACCACCTAAATATCTAATAACCCATCAACTGAAACTTTATTCAAAGCAAACCCAAATATTGCAACTTTGCAATAAATAGAAAGACAAACTCATCGCATACATTTTTCCATCAATAAAATAAAAGACAAATCATCAAGGATTTTCATATAATAAAGTATAAACCTTTTTGATTTGATGTGAGTATGATTATTACCTCAAGATTCTTAGTGGCAAAGACTGAAAGAGCAACGAAATAATGAAAAAAGTTATTGTAGAAGAAAAGTACAAAGGGACTAGGGCAAGGGGGAGAGAAAGAGAGAAGAACCTGTTGGAATTTCTCGGATCTTTGTTCGTGGCTCAACTATCTTGATTAGGGCTTTTGGTACTTTGTATCTTGATTAGGACTTTAATTTTAGTTTTTCTTTTTATCCTCTCCGTCTCTTAGTTCTTTTCCTTGAAACAATTGGCGGGTTAGTAAATATAAATTTAGAAGCGGCAATATAAGGAGGAAAAGCAACACCGTCGCAATTGTCTTTTTATTTAAATAACTGTCACCATAGATATGTATGTTGCCACATTTAAATAAACCGTCGTAATAAACCTGTCTATGGCAAGGGTTATGCCCCTAACGCGACGATTTATTCTGTTAACTATCTCAATAGCCCGGATATAATTATGCAACGCTTATAACCGTTGCTGTAGATTATCTATTGCAACGCTTATATAACCATTGTTAAAAAACCGTTGCAATAGGTCTATTTTCTAGTAGTGCGATCTCATCAAGCTGAACTGTGCTGAAATCTAAAATATATGACAGATCACCATAATTGTCACGACCCAAACTTCAACTAGTCATGATGGCACCTAACCCAACCGGTTAGGTAAGCCAATTACCAACTATCTGATTCCAATGAAATTAACGAGGCAATTAATTAAAAGAAAATATCTAAAACTAATACTTTTCCCCAAGAACGGGTAGTACAAATCATGAGCTTCTAAGAATAGAGTTTACAAAGTTGGTATGAAATAAATACATCATCTGTTTGAGAAGTACATAAACAGAGTTTTATGAATCTAAGGCTACCATGAACAAGAGGCAGCTACAACCGGAACGCAAATACATCTTCAAATCCAGCTCCCATCGAACACAGCAACATCAGCAGCCAACATCTGGACGCAAGGTGTAGAAGTGTAGTATTAGTACAACCGACCCCATGTACTAAGTAAGTAACAAACCTAACCTTACGTTAAAAGCAGTGACGAGCTTTTACCAAGGTCGGGTCCAAAACTAATAGTCCACAACAATATCCAGAAAAATAAATCTCATAACAACAGAATTGAGGCAGCACAATGATTAACTCAATAATAAAGTGCTCAGTTCATTCACAGTTCCGGAAAAATAAATATTTTTCTGTTCAAATATAATAGTAAAACTCAATTCTTTTCACTAAAATCACCAAAATAAGAGTAAGTCTGAAAACTGTAATTTTTTCAAAATCCTTTCAATAATAAATGGGATATTTCATTTTCTTTCCAAATAACTCGTATAAAACAATTGCATCACTATGCCCATCTGTCAATATGTGTGAGAAATCATGAATGATGTGATACTGTACAGCATGAGGAAAAATCCATCTCTATGCCTGTATGTCATGTGTGCATGTCAATGCGATGCAACTCAATGATAAAATCATATGCATACTCTCAGAGTATCATTTCACTCAGTCCTCCTAGTCACTCAGTCCTCCCAGTCACTTAGTCCTCACAGTCACTCAATCCTCCCAAATCACTCGGCACTCGCGCTCGACACTTGCACTCGGCACTCACACTCAGTAGGTACCTGCGCTCACTAGGGGTGTGTATAGACTCCGGAGGGGCTCCTTCAGCCTAAGCGCTATAATCTGCACGGACAACTCACGTACTGCACGGATAACTCACGTGCTATAATATCCTATCAGAATCCGCATGAACAACTCACGTGCCATAATAAGCCTATAAGTCCTGCTGTAGGCGGGCAGCCCCGATCCATATAATAGTAATAATATATATAAAGCCAATATGGCCTGCTGCGACGTGCAGCCCGATCCCAAAAATATCCTCACAATGAGGCCCTCGGCCTCCCTTAGTCATCATTCTCTCCAGTCTCTCTCTCATGGGCTCACAATGTCATGAGAATAGCCCAAAAATGATGATATGATGTATCAATAAATAACAATAGAGACTGAGATATGATATGCAATGAAATGAATATGACTGAGTATGAATTTTCAATTTAAACAAATAATTCACAGCAATATGACCTCCGTGGGGTCCTAATAATACTGGTACATAACCTCAACATGATTTTTAATATGCTTTTCAGCTCAATTTCTTTAACTCATAAAACCGCATGGAAAATGCCAAGATCATTTAACTACAAAATTCCACAGAAATAATTATGTTACAATTTCTATAGTGCACGTCCACATGCCCGTAGCCTAGTATGTGCGTCACCTCCCAACAATTCACGAAATACATATATTCAGGGTTCATACCCTCAACTCCAAGATTAGAAGAGTTATTTACCTCGAACAAGCTGAATCCAATGTCGAGCAAGCTAAACAATGCTTCCAAAAATTTCATTCTACATGTAACAACTTTCGAACGGCTCGAATCTAGTCACAATTAATTTGATTCAGTCAACCCAAATTATAGAAATTTATTCCATATCAAAATACTAATATTTCTACAAAATTCCGAATTTACACTCAAAAATGGCCCATGGGGCCCACATCTCAAAATCCGATGAAAGTTACAAAATATTAACGTCCATCCAACCATGAGTCCAACCATATAAATTTTACCAAATTCCGACATCAACTCGACCCTCAAATCTTCAATTATAGCCATTGAAAATTTTTACCATTTTCAACCCAATCTTTACCCATTTGAACTCAATAATCTATCCATAAACCTTATAGATATGTATAAATAATACTATTACACCCAAGAATCATACTCTTAATCACCCATCTTTACCCAAACTTGAAATTGAAGACTAGGAGTTAGAACCTTACCTCTTGGGTGAAGATCTTGTGATATTTTCTTGTTGGATTTCAAAGCTTGAACAAGATCTTGATGAACAAAGCACTTGAGCTTCTTCCTCTCTCTAGAACACTCTCCCTTCTCTCTAAAAATGTCAAATTTTTGCTCAAAAATAAGTCCCAAAGCCTATTTATCAAAATGGGGTCGAGTTATAAAAATAAAAAAATTAACCCTCCGAAAGCAGATCTGCGGTCGTATAATGGACCGCTGAATGGGTATGCGGGCCGCAAAATTGATCGCAAAATCGGTGCCCAGAACTGGGCTCTTCTGGTCCATTCTGCGACCAGTTTGCGGTCGCAGAAGCAGTTACCTATTTTGCGATCGCATAATTGGTCGCATAATTGCATTTTTTCAGCCTTTGGTAATTTAGTCGTAACTTCTTGTAGGAATGTCCAAATGACGAACGGTTAGAAGCGTTAGAAACTAGACTCAAAGATATTTTATTTGATAGGTAATACACCATATAACACTTCATATAATGAGAGTTATACTCATTTGAAGTTAGGCCTTGTGCGAACTCACTTGAAACTTTAGTCTTATTAAATTTCTAACTTCTACATTCGATGCCGAAACCTATCGAATCAAATCCGATTGACATCACATTTTTCACAGAGGTAATAAATGACATAATGAAGCTATTCCAATTTCCATAATCGGATTCCGACATCGATATCAAAAATTCAACCCCCCGGTCAAACTTTCCAAAAATTCAACTTTCGGCATTTCAAGCCTAATTCCATTACGGACCTCCAAATAATTTTTCGGACACGCTCCTAAGTCCAAAATTACCATACGGAGCTATTGGAATCATCAAAACTTCATTCCGGGGTCATTTACACATAAGTCAATATCCGGTCACTATTTTAACTTAAGTTTTTAATTATGAGACTAAGTGTCTCATTTCACTCCGAAATCCTTCCGGACCTGTCACGACCCAAAATCCAACTAGTCATGATGGCACCTAACTTAACCCGCTAGGTAAGTCAACTTTCAATTATCCAATTCCAATAACTTAACCTTATACATTCCTCAAGAACTGATAGTACAAATTATGAGCTTCTAAGAATAGAGTATACAAAGCGAAAATGAAATAAATACATAGTCTGTTTGAATAGTACATAAATAGAGATTTTATAAATCTAAGGCTACCATGAATAAAAGGCAGCTACAACAGGAACGCATGTACATCTTCAAATTCCGCAACCATCGAGCACAGCAACAACAGTAGTCAACATCTGCATGCAATGTGCAGAAGTGTAGTATCAGTACAACCGACCCCATGTACTGAGTAAGTAACAAACCTAGCCTTAGGTTGAAAGTAGTGACGAGCTTCTACCAAGATCGGGTCCAAAACCACTAATCCACAACAGTTAATAATGACATAAAGCAAAAAATACCAGAAGTAACTCAGAGATAAAATGCTCTGTCACATCATGATTTCAACAATAATAGTTCTTACTCTTTCAAGTACATCAGTAAAAATCCAAATCTTTTACCAAAGTTACCAAAAATGTGAATAAGTTTGAAAACAAGAATTTTTCCAAAACTCCTTTCAATAATAAATAAAATATCTCATTTTCTTTACAGATAACCAGTGTAAAACAAATGCATCACTATGCCCATCTGTCAACATGTGTGTGAAATCATGAATAATGTGATACCGTACAACATGAGGAAAACATATCTCTATGCATATATGTCATGTGTGCATGTCAATGCAATGTATCTCAAAGATTGTACTCATGTACTCACACTCTCAGAGTACTCAATCACTCAGTACTATACAATACCTGCTGCGGCATGCAACCTGATCCTTGTTTATAGTCGACTGCGCTCATTGGGGTGTGTACAGTCTCATGAATGGCTCCTACAGCCCAAGCGCTATAAGCACGGACAACTCTCGTGCTGCACGAACAAATCTCATGCTATAATATCATATCTGGATCCACACGGACAACTCACGTGCTGCACGGACAACTCACGTGCTATAATAATATCTGGATCCGCACGGCCAACTCACGTTCTATAATAATATCTGGATCCGCACGGCCAACTCACGTGCTGCACGGCCAACTCACGTGCAATAGTATAATATATAGATCCGCACGGCCAACTCACGTGCAATAGTATAATATATATAAAGCCAACATGTACTGCTGCGGCGTGCAGCCCGATCCCAAATAATATCCTCACAATCAGGCCCTCGACCTCCCTCAGTCATCAATCTCTCCAGTCTCTCTTTCATGGGCTCACAATGTCATGAGAATAGCCCAAAATGATTATATGATATATCAATAAATAACAACAGAGACTGAGATATGATATGCAATGAAATGAATATGACTGAGTATGAATTTTCAATTTAAAATAAATA